AGAAGCCAAAAATGAGAGCTATTGACAGCTAGGACATAGACGTAGAAGCCAAAAATGAGAGCTATTGACAGCTAGGACATAGACGTAGAAGCCAAAAATGAGAGCTATTGCCAGCTAGGACATAGATGTAGAAGCCAAAAATGAGAGCTATTGACAACTAGAACATAGACATAGAAGCAAAAAATGAGAGCTATTGACAACCAGGACCTAGACGTAGAAGCAAAAAATGAGAGCTATTGACAACCAGGACCTAAACGTAGAAGCCAAGAATGAGAGCTATTGACAACTAGGACATAGACGTAGAAGCCAAAAATGAGAGCTATTGACAACTAGGACATAGACGTAGAAGCCAAAAATGAGAGCTATTGACAACCAGGACCTAGACGTAGAAGCCAAGAATGAGAGCTATTGACAACCAGGACCTAGACGTAGAAGCCAAGAATGAGAGCTATTGGCTAGCAGAACATAGACGTAGAAGCCAAAAATGAGAGCTATTGGCTACCAGGACCTAGATGTAGAAGCCAAGAATGAGAGTTCTCAAGCCTTCAGTGTTGCTGACACTGGGCCAAGAATTGACACATTCCTGTATGAGAAGATGAATAAAGTTTACCTTGAGTTGTGCAAAATCTGCAGAAAGATTCTTTTACCCCATGAACAGGATACATTTGAAAAGGATTCTCTATCATTAAAGAGACAGAGATCTGCAATTTGCAGGAGGACTCTTTCAGGGCACAAGAACTAGTGTTTGAATTTCTGTGGAGGAGTCTTTAAGGTGCCCATCACCAAGAAGTTATTGAACTTCGCAGCAACTACGAGATCAAGAAACAGGACCAATCTGCAAGATGACAGAAAAACAAGATGAAAAGAGGAAGCAATATGAAGAAGAACTTAAAATACTGAAGAAGAAAAAGACTGCATGATGTTTGTGAAAGCTTAAGAGCAGAGTCTGACAAATTTACTGAACAAGCAGGAAGCCGTATGACAGGAATAGTCCTGTCATATGGCTTCCTGTCTTGCTTTCTGCTTGTTCAGTATCCTTCATTCTTCTTCTTATGGTGTTAGACTCTGTGTTGAGTCCTGTCATATGGCTTCCTGTCTTGCTTTCTGCTTGTTCAGTATCCTTCATTCTTCTTCTCATGATGTTAGACTCTGTGTTGCAACCCTGCAAGGAGAAGAATAAAGGAGAAATGATCTGAGGCAAAGGATTTGGACCTTATTTGGAAAATAAAACTGAAGCACTTTCAAACACACAGAAAACGACCCGGAAAACAGGACTATTTAAACTTTAGAGTCCTACAAAAGACTTGTATAAATGTACATGTATGTTTGTATATAATTTAATTTTTGTTATTTGATTTTTCTGTAATAGAGATTCAGTGTTTTTTTGTTGTCAGCTTGTTATGAAAATAGATCTGTAAATTTTCTAAGGATTCATCTTATATTTGGTCAGTTGACAGCTGCAGGAGAGAGGGTTTTGTAAACTGTCGAAAAATAGCTAATATAATAATGATAACATTTGTCATTTTTAGTAGTTAAGTTGTGGAAATCTATTACACTAACACTCCAAGACTTAACAGAAGTTACTTGTTTATAAAGAAATTGTCCACATGACTCCATTGATAAAATAAGATATTAAAAATACATAATATGTTAGAGGATATTTTATAAATTTGAAAAGTTAATGGATAGTTAAAGTACACTTTTCAACATATTGTGGGACAGCTTTGTTTTCTTGAATGTTTGTAACTTTTGCAAAAGGTGTAGATGAAAAGGTTTAAATACATTGGTAACAACTGTGTGGTGTAGCAAGCATATAACAAGATTAGCCTTGAAGAAGCTCTTTTTCTTTAGATTTATTGCTTCCTATTAAATATTCAACATTTACGTCAGTGATTTTTTGATATGTTACTTTTGTCTTCCTGTTTCGTTTAATTATGCACACCAAAATGGTCATTTTGAAATTGAAGGTGAATTATTCATAGAGGTTTAACAGTTACTTTTTTAGGATGAATCTTTACATGTGTAATAAATCGGTCTTTGTTGTCTGCTTGCAGAGTAGTCCCAAGCAAGGTCATCCTGCAGTTTCCCGCCAACTCGTGAGAAGTTTATCCATGCCTACATCCACACCAAATAACATTAAGGCCAATATCAGTAGTCTGTCGCCTGCCTTGTCTTCTACAACTAACACTCCCATTCTGAGCACCCCTCAGAAACACTCGGTTGATGCTACCTCCAAAGCTGTGGCAGCTCTTGTCTCTCCAAACATAATATCTGCCCCTAAACTCTCCACCTTGATGTCAGTAACTGCAACAGGTCTTCCTCATAATGGTGGAAGTAATTCCCGTCCTCCATCTCAAGGATCAAGTCAATCTCTTCCTAGTCCCAAGACTGTTATAGCCAATGTTAATGCAGCTCAGTTCATGGGAGTCACCCAACTGCAGTCGGTGGTTTCTACTGGTGATCAGCCTTCATCTTCCCCTCTGACATCTTCAACGCCACCATCAGGATTAACAACCATGGACATGAAGCCATCTTCACCAGCTTTTGTTGGTCAGCCCCCTGTTTTACAACCGGTATTCAACCAGGGTCTTCCTGGCATGGTGAACCTAACTTTTCCTACGGCTGCCAGAGGAACAGCCACTGCTGGCTCAAGGAGAACCAGTGGCACTTCTGCACCTACATCAAGCACTCTACAGAACCTACAAACTATTGTAGTCAAGCAGGAAGCAGGAGGGAAGCCTAAATCTTCAGTTGCTACTCTTCCTATCCTAGCTACAGGGACTGCAGCCAGTACAATGAGATCAGTGGGAAATGTATCTAAACCAATGGTAGCTCGTCTGGTGTCGGGGTCTCAGATGGTTTCCTTGGGCAGTCTAGTACCAGCCTCTGCTGGTCTAGTGACTAGCCAACCAGGAATGGCTCCTGCTGGAGCTTCTACCATTCACATTCAAGGAAACAGTTTTGTTCGTCCGCTAGGAGCTGCAACTCAGCTTAATGTACTTCAGACTAATCAATTAGCTACTGCTGGAGTTAAGTAAGTATAGGTTTTACTGATGAGAGAAAGGAAGTTAGAGGAAATATGATTTTATAATTAATGTCTCATATTTTATTTTATATAGTAGTTGTTTTGACTTGTGAGCAGAAAGGCAAGAAACAAAGTAAATCTATAAGATGAAAAATGTACAGAAAAAATGTCATAAATAATTAAAAACCATGCTTTTTATGTTCACAATTGATAGATTATCTATAATTTTTTTATGTGCAGTTACTCATAATGTAGCAGATAACAGTCAACTTAGATTAACGACTCTCACCAGCTAACAAATGTTATTTTACTTTAATATTTAATGATACAATGAAGATAGTGAATTGTTTGATAGGAAACTTTGTCCATTTATTCTCAGATTGTTTCCCAGACAAATATTTTTTTTTTTTACTTTCCATATGTCAATCTCTTTCTTATGTTTAAAATGTTCAATATAACTAAAAATTCCCAAATAAAGATATACTGTAAAGTAGATATAATAACAATAATCTTCATGCTGATCTTAAAATCACATTATGCTCGTAGGTGGGAGTTTCTTTGTCACTTGTTATATCAGTAACACTTTGAAACTACAGTTTAGCTACACCTGAAAACCTCTCTTGTTGTATTTAACTTTGTTTTCTCTTGGTTTTCTTTACTCAACAATTAGAAAAGCCTTCACAACTTTAGATGAACCTAGAAAAGGCACATTATTATGTGTATGAGAATTGATTACCTTTCTACAATTTACTTAGGTTAAACAGATTGGCTCTGATGACTCAAGGGACGAACGCAACAACAACGTCTCTCTCCCCAAATGTCTTGATTTCCCAGCCAAAGCTTCTATCTGTTACTCAGGGGCAGTTGGGACTACTTCAAGCTGCTCAGCTTGAAGCTATGAACTCTGCTACGCAGGTTACTCCTATTCCTATAGCCACATCTCACAGTTCCAGTCCAGTGAAAGCAGCAAACTCTTCAGGGCCCTCTAGTGGTGTGGCCACTAGTCCATTGCCAGGAAAGCCTTCTCAAACCCTTGTTATGTCTCCCAAAGGAACAAATCAGTTTGCAACTGGTGGTACCTCAGTTTCTTTAGCTCAGGGTTCATCGCTACCCAGTGTAATATTTGCCACAAGTTCTCCTGGTTCTTCATCTGCCGTAGTATTTGGTGAGTTTACTCTTACTTTGGTTAGAGGTAGTTGTAGAGCAATTAACATTAAATGTAGACAGCTGTTTTTCAACTGAAACAATATTTTAGACTAGAGCTATTTAAATATACACCCACACTAACAAAGTATTGTACACAATCTGGTTAACCTAGTTATTTAAATATACACCCACACATACAAAGTATTGAACACAATCTGGTTAACCTAGTTATTTAAATATACACCCACACATACAAAGTATTGTACACAATCTGGTTAACCTAGTTATTTAAATACATACCCATACTAACTAAGTATTTACACAACCTGGTTAACTTAGTTATTTAAATATACACCCACACTAACTAAGTATTTACACAATCTGGTTAACCTAGTTATTTAAATACACATCCACACTAACTAAGTATTTACACAACATGGTTAACTTAATTATTTAAATACACACCCACACTAACAAAGTGTGGTACACAACATGGTTAACCTAATTATTTAAATACACACCCACACCAACAAAGTATTGTACACAATCTGGTTAACCTAGTTATTTGAATACACATCCACACAAAGTATTGTACTAACAAAGTAAGTATCTAACAAAGTATTGTACACAATCTGATTAACCTAGTTATTTAAATATACACCCACACTAAGTATTTACACAATCTGGTTAACCTAATTATTTAAATACATACCGACACCAACAAAGTATTGTACACAATCTCGTTAACCTAGTTATTTGAATACACATCCACACTAACAAAGTATTGTACACAATCTGGTTAACCTAGTTATTTAAATATACACCCACACTAAGTATTTACACAATCTGGTTAACCTAGTTATTTAAATACACACCCACACTAACAAAGTATTTACACAATCTGGTTAACCTAATTATTTAAATACATAATTAGGTTAACCATGTTGTGTACCATACTTTGTTAGTGTGGGTGTGTATTTAAATAATTAAGTTAACCATGTTGTGTAAATACTTAGTTAGTGTGGGTGTGTATTTAAATAACTAGGTTAACCAGATTGTGTACAATACTTTGTTAGTGTGGGTTGTGTACAATACTTTGTTAGTGTGGGTGTGTATTTAAATAACTAGGTTAACCAGATTGTGTACAATACTTTGTTGTGTGGGTGTGTATTTAAATAACTAGGTTAACCAGATTGTGTACAATACTTTGTTAGTGTGGATGTGTATTCAAATAACTAGGTTAACCAGATTGTGTACAATACTTTGTTGGTGTGGGTGTGTATTTAAATAATTAGGTTAACCATGTTGTGTACCATACTTTGTTGGTGTGGGTGTGTATTTAAATAACCTGGTTAACCTAGTTATTTAAATACACACCCACATCAACAAAGTATTGTACACAATCTGGTTAACCTAGTTATTTAAATACATACCCACATCAACAAAGTATTGTACACAACCTGGTTAACCTATTTATTATTTTGTCTTTATAACTAGTTATTTAAATACATACCCACAGTAACAAAGTATTTACACAACCTGGTTAACTTAGTTATTTAAATAGACACCCACACTAACAAAGTATTGTACACAACATGGTTAACCTAGTTTATTATTTTGTCCGTATAGCTGTTTAAGGGATTGTTTACCAGATCAGTGTATGACTGTATTCTAAATAGTTTGGTATTTTAGAGTACTCTGTTGAGTATTCTTAGACTGTATAACTGTTTTGTGTTTCAGCTTGCCAAGGATCTCTAAAAACCACACAGACTTACATGATGGCTGCACCTGGAGCCCCTCCAGCTGTTATAATGGCCACTGCAGCCCAGCAAGGGATTCGAGGAGCAGCTGTCACCCCTCTTAATGTCAAAGCACTTCAAGGCATCAAAGTCATCCCTATGTCTCAGACTGTAGCACCTGTTAAAGGATGTAAAGGTCAGCCTCTGTTTGCTAGGATCATTACCCCCTCTGGTGGAATAGCCCTCCACCCAACAGGTACTGTTACTGCTGGCTTAGGACAGCAAATGACAGCTTCAGCAGCTGTTAGTATTGTTCAAGGCCTTGGGCCTCTACCCATGCAGTCATCATCATCTCTTGTATCACAGAGTTGCTCTCCAGGGAAATCAACAGCTATTACCCTTCCTGCAACAATTAGCCAACCATTAGTTGTTCAACCTACAGCCAGTTCTAGTGATACTCCCACTACATCTAGTTAAAGTCAAGCTTTCTAAAGGTTTATCTGGTCTGTGATTGACCTCATCTTTCTGAAGCTAAATGTTTTATGTAAAAGGAAATGTAAGAACTAAAATTTATTCACACTCCTAGTGAACTAAGAGGTTGAAAAACGTCTTTTCTTTGCTGTAGAATTTTTTTTACTAGTATTACATCTCTCATGTGAAGGATGAGATAAAGAATTTATGTATTGAACTTTTATTGTTATTAAATTTATTTCTTTGAATGTAAACACACATTTGTTACACATTTTGCTTTTTTTTTATGCCATGAGGACAAAAATTGAAACAGCCTAGTTATTTAAAGAAGTACACTTAAAATTCACAAACCAGAAAGGATGGCACCAATACTAACAAGAATCTATGTTCTAAAACTGTGTAATAACGGAATAAACAAAGAGTAAAGAACTGATGTTGGACAGTATATGATTTTATAACTATTTCACATACCTGATCTTTGTAAGAAGCTTTCATTTTGCATAAATATTTTACGTATCAGATACTAATTTTATAGTAAATCATTTATAAAACAAAGTTAATAAACATCTAATTCTAGATGTGTAGATTTCATTCATATTTTAAAGTTTAGAGAAGAAAAATGTACATTTTTCACAATATATATATATATAATAATTGAGTTTTTATGACATTTTTGTAATATACACGCAAGTTTAAAGCAAGGTATATTTTTACCAAGAAACATTGTTGTTGTACTAAAACATACCACAAAACCAAATGAACATTATTTTACAAACAAGAACTAGATACGGAATGAACAGTTCAGAGGTCATATATACGTGTTTAATATCTGTGTAATTTGGTCGAGTAAATGTAATTTATGTACTGTATTAAGTTGCCTTCAGAACTTTCTGTTAAAATAAAGTATTGTTAGTTCTTAGTTTTGTAAGAAGAAAAAACAGATGTATTGTGATATTAAATGAAATGATTAGTTAACACTACCCAAACTTTGCTTTAACAGCTATTTTTTGTTTTGATATGTTCAGCTGTAAGAATCAGACATTAACCAAAATTACTTAAAAAGTTCTGTTTACTGATGATGTAATATTAAGAGTGTTTTGACTTATTTACTAGATAACAAACTCTGTACTCAGAGTATATAAGTTTATTCTTGGAATTTAAAAATGGACAGATTGAAAGAGTAATTAATAGTATTTCAGTGCAGTGGAGGTGAAACCAGTATTAATAATATATGTAAAGATGAATTACCTTTCTGTTTGATATGGCAATTTTAAATATGTATATGTACTGATGTCTAGTAAAATCTGTGTATAAAATATGTACAACAGTGACATGTTTTAAACTACAAGTGATTCAGGAACAAGCCACTTACAGATATGATGTGTGAACACATACTCTGGATGATAAAAATGGGTCTAAGGATATTTTATATAATGAAACTTGCTTTTAAAAGTTATGGTGTACTCCCACCTTGAAAAAATATATAAATCTGAGTAAAGTAGAACTAAAAGTAATGTACATATACGTATATACAGATTTATATCATCTGAGAATCAGTTTTGAAAGTGGGTAAATTTTTGTTACATTTGGCAAGTACATGTGGTTTTCATCTCAAGTTTTTAAAACAACTAAATAGGAGCCACACAACATCTGGAAATTCAAAAAGTTTGAATAAAACATTGGGAACTGTAGGACTTGATCATAGTAGTCTCCAAAAAAGTTACCCACTCTTGCTGTTCTGTCCATAACTGTTCACACCTGATGATTCTGTGAACATTACTGGTCTGTAGGTAAGCATTTGAATTAGCACCAATAAAAATCCTTCTCTGGCATCTTTTAGGACTTGTTTTCTCTCCTGTACTGGTAGCATGTTCAGCATTTTGCTACCTTACACTCACAAGTAATCTTTGAATCCTGTACTGGTAGCACATTCAGCATTTTGCTACCTTACACTCACAAGTAATCTTTGAATCCTGTACTGGTAGCACATTCAGCATTTTGCTACCTTACACTCACAAGTAATCTTTGAATCCTGTACTGGTAGCACATTCAGCATTTTGCTACCTTACACTCACAAGTAATCTTTGAATCTGATGCTTCTGACATGTGTTATCCAGTTTATTTGCAATTTTGACAGAATATCTGCTGGTTGTCCTTACAGTTCCCAGTAATTATTGGCTTCACAAGGATCTCCATAGATATTGTTTCACAATAACACCACAACCTTAGGTAAAGTTTAGTAAAAACTTTATATATCTACCAAAAAGCAAAAAACTTATTTTCAGTTTGGGGGTTGACAAACACCATTGGATTTTTATTTAACAGTGCATGTTCTGTAAAATTGGGGAAATACTGGATGTGTAATACTATACATAATCTGGTTGACTCTGGAATTCATTGTTAAATAATGCATATAAGTAGAGTGGCCCATATAACTTAAGACATCCAGAGTCCTCTATAATGACTAGTTACCGAAGGATCTTTGTTACAGAGCAAATGGGCCTAATTTAGCACAGAAATCCATAGAAATAATCAAATAATAAAGAAAACTGTGGATACGTATTAAGAGAAGGATACAAACTCCAGAGGAGAGGATAGATAAAATGGGTTTGTTGTCAGTGTTTTTAAACCCAATGCCAAGGAAGAACAAATGTAATAATAATAGTATATAGAAGACATGGTTTTTACACTTTGATCTTATAATTGGTATTATGGTTCATGATTTTTTTTCATCATGTAAAAAAAAGACTATTTTCTGAAGAATTACTTAATGATAAATGTTTAATTCCACATTAAATTTATGTATCATCCATATTTTTATTACTGCAAATAAACAATTTATATAACTTTATACTTTGATACCTTGTAGCTGTTCTCAAATGTTAGTGGTTTTTGAATAGTTGCAATTAAAGCTTTAACAAACATAATTTAATGTGACAGTTGTGAACTGTAAACTTTGAAATCGTTAATGCATTCAAACTACTGTGATTGAAATTGGTGACCAGTAATACTTTGTAAGTGAATAAATACAAAAGCTGACCTTGATCTTTGTTAGCTGTAATATGTGAAAGTTAACGACATGTGTTACTGTATAAGATGATGGGAGAAAATTTTTAACTACACAACTGAAAATCAGTGATATCAGTTTTGTTTTACAAGATTTTTGTAACCAAACAATGTCATCATTTTTCATAGCATTGGTCCATCAAAACTTAATATTAAAGTTGGCAGTGGCCAAGAAAGTGATACCTGTATACCTTTCGTCTTAAAATCTGGTTATTGCTATTTCAAACTGTGGTAAAAGTTCTCAAATTTTGTTGTCTTGATAAGCGCACGGATTTCTTTTTTAATTCATAACAATAACTTTGGGAGGAGACTTTGAATTGTCAGAAATCTTTATAATTCTTTGCTTGAATTTACAACCTATATCGTAGTTGGACCCTTTAACTGTGGTTTTATACAAAAAGCCTTTTAACAGTGATAAATCGGTCATAAAGAAATATATTAGAAAAGAAAACCCTTACCATAAAACGTATCAACTTCAATCCTTGAGCCAAGAATACAACTGAATATTTATACACATATATCCTTAAGGTGTATAATAACTTCACAAACGGTTTCAAAAACAAATAGAATTACTAAACAGTAATACAAAAATAATCCGAATAAACAACAAACACTCGGAACATAATCATATCTACAAAATGCTACTACTGAATGAAAATATAAACTAAATCCGTTAAAAACACTAAAATCCATTTGATATACTGCAAAATAAACCCTTTATACTGAATTGCAAATACAAGATGTAATATTGATACACAAACAAATATAATTGCTGTGACTAGAAAAGTGTACTCAAACCCATAAAGAAATCAACATTAAATAATTAATAAATGAAACACGTTTAAATGTGAATTATTCAAAATCATGATACTGATAGACTAAAAATAAACACTTCGAAAATAATACGTGCATTCATAAAGTAATATATTTACACTTAAATGTGAGAATGGTCCCGGAATAAACATAATTACAAGTAAAAAAAAAAGGGGGCGTTGAAAATAAAAGTGGCTAAGCCATTTCAGGCCTATTAATCTTATGAATAACAAACCGACTTAAGTGTATAATAATAAATTGGACAATGTAGTGAATACATTATATTGTGAACATCACCTTAGAGCTTGGAAAACAATAATTGCCACCTTATGTGACTGTCCTAGCCTTTGATGATTGTTTAGTCCTACCCATATAGGATGGAAGGCCAGAGTTGTCTTTCTCCTCTGGCTTTCGTGGACAACTAGGTGGGTACTTTCAGCTGTTTTTACTTATCAGGTGAGTCATTATGTATTAAAACAGCATCCTCGTCGGTATCAAACTTAGACTCCTGATCAAGCCAGTATATAAAAAGTTCATCTCTAACATAGGGATACAACATATTGACGTTTTACACATTCATCTCTAACATAGGGATACAACATATTGACGTTTTACACATTCATCTCTAACATAGGGATACAACATATTGACGTTTTCCACATTCATCTCTAACATAGGGATACAACATATAGACGTTTTACACATTCATCTCTAACATAGGGATACAACATATTGACGTTTTACACATTCATCTCTAACATAGGGATACAACATATTGACGTTTTACACATTCATCTCTAACATACGGATACAACATATTGTTACGTCTCCGTTTGTTAATTAACTTTTCGTAACTTCGTTCCTACGAAACTTAAGCGACACAACTCCTTTCTTAATAAAACTAGTTTATTCTTTCCAAATATAACTTTACCGATACACTCAACTTCAACAATCGAGC